AATTGTTTTACAAATTATGTCTTTGTCCATTTACAGTATCTGCAGTAATAATCCAAGTCTACGTTGTAACAGTGACCTGCCAGTCTGAATTACTACATTTTTAAACCAAACCCTACAAAGTCTCTCTCATATGAGGTTTGCGGACACGAGCAACTATAACAAGAATTATTGATCCATTGATTATTGATACATATATTGATCCCTCAGTAGCGTCGGTAATTTGTGAACATTCCTGTTTAAAGAGGGAATGAGTCCAGGAAATTAACAAATCAACTGCAGGCTATTAGATGGTAAAACAGCATCAAAATGATTGGAAAAGTTTCTCTTGATGAATTAGTTTGACAAAGGCTTGCGGTCTGCGTTTGTGTTATCATTGTAACCTAGCACCAATATCTTCTCATTGTGGACAATCACAGTATGGTGCTAAAAAGATAACGCAACCATACAACTTCAATCAAAAGGCAAACAATAAACAACACAGCAATGATTATACATCTGCCTTTTACAAATGCAATGCCCACTTAAGAGACACAGAACTGAGTGATCTGATATCCTGGATCTTTCACAGTCTAACAGAGCAAATGTAATCACCTAACCAACAGTACTCACTGTGATCAAAAAAAGGTTCGGGTGCACCCAGTGCCAAATACAGTAATACATTGTGCCCATACGATAAGCTGTTAAAAAGTATCTGAAAACCAGAAGCACAATTCAATGTAATAATAAAAATAATAATAAAAAAAATTCACTCTCAGTCTCTCTGCTCTTTCCCCATCCACTTTTACTGGTTCCAGACCAATTAGCTAAAAAGAATTCTAGGTCTCGTAGAGGGACCAGATGCATTGCAAAAACCCAATGTAAATATTCCGTGTCGTTTTGCAGAACAGGATGCAGTTTGATTTTTTTTCAGGTGCTCTGAACGATGCATAGTACAGCAAAACCTGCACCTTGTTCTTAAAAGTTAAATTTGTGCAGTACTTCATTCCGCACAAGGACAAAAATTCCTGTGACTTACTTGTTACAAAAACTGTATTAAACACACCATACCCATTCAGTTATACTGACAGTAATTCTAAAGGCTATGAAACCAAATCCCCAAATCCCACTTAACAACTAGATCTGGAATGGATCTAATGTGCTGCTTAAATTTTAGAAATGTGCCACTTACGCTCACAATAAAACGTTTATCTTTACAAACTCTTCTCAAGTCATCCATCCCACCTCACCACAGCTGCACCCCTTGTCACATTATGTAGTGGTCACGGGATGATGGGGAGGGTTGAGAGGAAGGGGGGAGGAGGAAAGATAAGGAGTGGGAAACATCACCCTTGATCTCAGCGCCTTGGGACGTCCTTCCGACGTGAAAGGCGCTCTATAAATGTAATTTTGCTGTTGTTGTTGTCATTATTTCCCGTCAAATCATCTCCAGATCGCTCTATGCCGAAGATTAGGATTATTATTAAATTGCGTTTCATTATTCCACAGCTAATTATTACTCTGAAATTGAAACCGGACACTTCAGTGACCGAATGTTCTTCCTCTGTTTGATGCAAAATTTTAGTTAAATAACAACAACATCCACTTTGCATTTATGTTCAAATTATTATACATCTGTTAGATGTAGCTTTTTTGATCAATTCTGATCTACAGTTACTGAAATTCAACTACCCTCATACAAACTTTACTATTTTCAGTATTATATAAAGGCCTGGCCGCTTACGACAGCTTGATCTCTCCATCTCTCTGGCATTTAATAACATCCAATTTACATTAGCCACTGTAAAGCATTGATGGAACTACATCAACTCCACAGCAAATCTACGACGGCAATTGACATTCAATAAAACAGTACAAAAGGCACTTTTGTTTTTAACATTGGTCGATGTTTATAGTACCAGAATTTAAACAAACAAAAAGGCCTGCTCTGGACAGTTCATGAAGCACCCATTGGGAGAAATACTTCCAATAGTTTGCCCTCTTCCTCTCTCTCTCTCTGCACTGAAAGCAGTTTCTCCTTCTCCCAACATTTGAGGCAAATAATTCCAAAGGTCCAGCTCTTGCCCGACACTCCTGATCAGTGTTGCTCTTGCCATTTTGTTTACAGATGTGTGTGTGTAAGTAAAAAAAAACCAGAAAGCTGGGCAAGAAGAGAGGGGGTATGTGCATAAATCAGTTTCATTTATACTCTGCAAATACAGAAACAGCAAGAATAAAACTTACCCTCTCTCCCACACACACACACCAGAGTGAGATGATTTATTTTATTTCTCCCTGGGTAACATTGATCCAGAAACACAACACCCAGATTTTTAAAACACACACAACACAGAGGGAGGAATTGGGGGGGGAAGGGGGGGAGAGGGAGAGAGAGGAGAGGGGCAGAGGAGGGAGAAAAGAGGGGAGAAGAGGGGAGGGAGAAAAGAGGGGAGAAGAGGGGAGGGAGAAAAGAGGGGAGAAGAGGGGAGGGAGAAAAGAGGGGAGAAGAGGGGAGGGAGAAAAGAGGGGAGAAGAGGGAGGGAGAAAAGAGGGGAGAAGAGAGGAGGGAGAAAAGAGGGGAGAAGAGAGGAGGGAGAAAAGAGGGGAGAAGAGAGGAGGGAGAAAAGAGGGGAGAAGAGAGGAGGGAGAAAAGAGGGGAGAAGAGGGGAGGGGGGAAAGAGGGGAGAAGAGAGGAGGGAGAAAAGAGGGGAGAAGAGAGGAGGGAGAAAAGAGGGGAGAAGAGGGGAGGGGGAAAGAGGGGAGAAGAGAGGAGGGGGGAAAGAGGGGAGAAGAGAGGAGGGAGAAAAGAGGGGAGAAGAGGGGAGGGGGGAAAGAGGGGAGAAGAGAGGAGGGGGGAAAGAGGGGAGAAGAGAGGAGGGGGGAAAGAGGGGAGAAGAGGGGAGGGGGGAAAGAGGGGAGAAGAGAGGAGGGAGAAAAGAGGGGAGAAGAGGGAGGGAAAAAAGAGGGAGAAGAGGGGAGGGGGAAAGAGGGGAGAAGAGAGGAGGGGGGAAAGAGGGGAGAAGAGAGGGGGAGAAAGAGGGGAGAAGAGAGGAGGGAGAAAGAGGGGAGAAGAGGGAGGGGGAAAGAGGGGAGAAGAGAGGAGGGGAGAAAAGAGGGGAGAAGAGAGGAGGGGGGAAAGAGGGGAGAAGAGAGGAGGGAGAAAAGAGGGGAGAAGAGAGGAGGGAGAAAAGAGGGGAGAAGAGGGAGGGGGGAAAGAGGGAGAAGAGAGGAGGGAGAAAGAGGGGAGAAGAGGGAGGGGGGAAAGAGGGGAGAAGAGAGGAGGGAGAAAAGAGGGGAGGGGTAGGAAAGAAGAGGGGGGAAGGATAGGGAGAAGGGGGGAGAGGGAGAGAAGTCACTCCCTGAGAGGTAAAGAGAGAGAGAGACACAGACACACAAAGGCCTCGCTGGTCTCCCCACAGCCTCAGACACCGGTCTCTGTTTACAAGCTGCCCCGACCGTCCCCGGGGTGTGTGTGGGGGGGTGTGTGGGTGTGGGTGTGTGTGAGGGTGTGTGTGAGGGTGTGTGTGAGGGTGTGTGTGTGTGGGTGTGTGTGGGTGTGTGTGAGGGTGTGTGTGTGGGGGGGTGTGTGGGGGGGGTGTGTGGGTGTGTGTGGGTGTGTGAGGGTGTGTGTGAGGGTGTGTGTGAGGGTGTGTGGGGTGTGTGTGTGTGAGGGTGTGTGTGGGTGTGTGAGGGTGTGTGTGTGTGAGGGTGGGTGTGTGTGTGAGGGTGTGTGTGAGGGTGTGTGTGTGTGTGGGGGTGTGTGTGAGGGTGTGTGTGTGTGTGGGTGTGTGTGAGGGTGTGTGTGAGGGTGTGTGTGAGGGTGTGTGTGAGGGTGTGGGTGTGTGTGAGGGTGTGTGTGTGGGTGTGTGTGTGTGTGTGTGTGTGTGTGTGAGGGTGTGTGTGAGGGTGTGTGTGAGGGTGTGTGTGTGGGGGGGTGTGTGAGGGTGTGTGTGAGGGTGTGTGTGTGTGAGGGTGTGTGTGTGTGTGGGGGGGGGGGGTGTGTGAGGGTGTGTGTGAGGGTGTGTGTGTGTGTGAGGGTGTGTGTGAGGGTGTGTGTGAGGGTGTGTGAGTGTGTGTGTGTGTGGGTGTGTGTGAGGGTGTGTGTGAGGGTGTGTGTGTGTGTGTGAGGGTGTGTGAGGGTGTGTGGGTGTGTGTGTGGGTGTGTGTGAGGGTGTGTGTGAGGGTGTGAGGGTGTGTGTGAGGGTGTGTGTGTGTGTGGGTGTGTGTGGGTGTGTGTGTGAGGGTGTGTGTGTGAGGGTGTGTGTGTGTGTGAGGGTGTGTGTGAGGGTGTGTGTGGGTGTGTGTGAGGGTGTGTGTGAGGGTGTGTGTGAGGGTGTGTGTGTGTGGGTGTGTGTGAGGGTGTGTGTGTGGGTGTGGGTGTGGGTGTGTGTGAGGGTGTGTGTGAGGGTGTGAGGGTGTGTGTGAGGGTGTGTGAGGGTGTGTGTGTGAGGGTGTGTGTGGGTGTGTGTGAGGGTGTGTGTGTGTGGGTGTTAGGGTGTGTGTGAGGGTGTGTGTGAGGGTGTGTGTGTGGGTGTGTGTGAGGGTGTGTGTGTGTGTGGGTGTGTGTGAGGGTGTGTGTGAGGGTGAGGGTGTGTGTGAGGGTGTGTGTGAGGGTGTGTGTGTGGGTGTGTGGGTGTGAGGGTGTGTGTGTGTGAGGGTGTGTGTGTGTGTGTGAGGGGTGTGTGTGTGAGGGGTGTGTGTGTGGGGTGTGTGTGGTGTGTGTGAGGATGGGGTGTGTGTGTGTGAGGGTGTGTGTGTGTGTGTGAGGGTGTGTGTGTGTGAGGGTGTGTGTGTGTGAGGGTGTGGGTGTGTGGGTGTGTGTGAGGGTGTGTGTGTGTGAGGGTGTGTGAGGGTGTGTGTGAGGGTGTGTGTGTGTGTGTGAGGGTGTGTGTGTGTGAGGTGTGTGTGTGTGTGTGTGTGTGTGTGAGTGTGTGTGTGGGGGTGTGTGTGAGGGTGTGTGTGAGGGTGAGGGTGTGTGTGTGAGGGTGTGTGTGAGGGTGTGTGTGTGGGGGGGGTCCCCTCACCTGGGGTAAGGCGGTGTTGAGCTGTCTCTGCAGGGAGTCCCTGTCGTGCGCGGCCTCCAGCAGCCGGGCCTGGCTGAGGGTCAGCGACTCCTGGGTCTCCCGCAGGGTCTCCAGCAGCTTGTCCCGCTCGTCCAGCATATTGACCATCAGCTGCTCGAAGTTGGCCTCGGTCTCGGGGCCGAACTGGGAGCCGCGCTGCGTCAGCGAGTCCTCGCTGATGGTCGGCATCACCTCGCACATCATGGTGGGGCCTTCCCCTCCCCTCCCTCTCCCCTCCTCCCTCTTTCTCTCTCTCCCTCTCCCCTCCCTCTCTCTCTCCCCCTCTCTCTCCCTCTCCCCTCTCCCCTCCTCTCTCTCTCCCTCTCCCCTCCTCTTTCTCTCTCTCTCTCTCCCCTCCTCCCTCCCTCTCCCCCTCCTTCTCCCTCTCCCCTCCTCCCTCCCTCTCCTCCTTCTCTCTCTCCCTCTCCCCCTCCTCTCTCTCTCCCCTCTCCTCCTCCTCTCTCTCCCCTCCTCCCTCTCTCCTCCTTCTCTCTCTCCCTCTCCTCCTCTTTCTCCTTCTCTCCCTCCTTCCCCCGTTCTCTCCTCCTCCTCCTCCTTTCCCTCCCTCCCTCCTTCTCTGCTTTCCTCTCCTCCTTTCCCTCCCTCCTCCCTCTCTCCTCTCCTCTCTTTCACTCCCTTTTCCTCTCCCCTTTTTTCTTTCCTTCCTTCCTTCTCTTTCACTCTCTTCCTCCTCTCCTTTTCCCCTTCTCCGGTGTCCGGGGCGGTGGTCGGTGGGGGAGTGGGAGTGGGAGAGTGTGGGGGGGGGAGGGAGGGAGGGAGAGGCCTGCGCTGCTCACACAGGCCTCAGCATCGAGTGAGAGGGGAGACGGGGGGAGTGTGGGGGGGTGGGGGTGGGGGGTGTGTGGGGGGGGGGTCGAGGTGGGTCGTCACCGGGCGGCGACTGAGGGAGGGAGGGGAGGGAGGCCCGGGCTCGGCCTGGCCGGGGCTGGAGCTCTCACCGGGGGGGGGGGGGCGGCCTCCCCTCCTGACAACACCCGGGACCCGGGACCCCGGACAGGGCTGAGCCGAACAGCCGCCTCTGGGCTCCGGCCCTGTGGGTGGGGGTGTGGGGGGGGAGAGGAGGGGGGGGGGATGGGGACAACACTCTCTCTCTCTCTCCCTCTTTCCTTCTCTATCTTCTCTCTCTCCTTCTCTCTCTCCCTCTCCTTCCCGAGCCACAACACAGCAGCCTTCACCCCCCCCCCCCACACCCCCCTCCCCACACACACACACACACACCCTTCCCCTCCTCCCTCCCTTCCCTCCCAATCCCAGTGGCTCCTCTTCACATCCCTCTCTCTCTCTCTCTCTCTGTCTCTCCTTCTGTTCTTTCTTTCTTTCTCTCTCTCTTCAGCCACTTCTTCTTTTTCTTCTTCTTCTCCTCCTCCTCCACCGTTGACGTCTAACGATTCCCTCCTTCCTTTCTTTCTCTCTCTCCCCCCCTTATCAGCCCCTCTTCCCTCCCTCCCCTCCCCAGGGAAAGGGCTGATATACACCCCCACACCCCACACCCCACCCATCCCATCCCACACCCAGAATATTTTTTTTTGGGGGTGGGGGGTGGGACTCATTAAAATAATAAATAATAATAACTTTTTACGTCGCAAGAGGCGGAACGAACGCCTGCGGCGTAAGGGGGTTCCGCGGTTCGCAAGCGATTCCCGGGCGCAGGGCGCAACGTTGGGGAAGTCCAATAATAATTATAATAGTCATGATGATGGTGATGATGATGATGGTGATGATAATAATAATAATAATCCTTCCATTTGATTGCAGCGCCTCATCCCGTCTTCGAGACGTCTCAAAGCGCTTCACGGGATACGCTGCAAAGTGACTTAATAATAATAATAATAATAACTTGATATTTTGTGGGCGAAACGAGGCAGACAATTGCGCACAGCAGTATCCCATTCCCCCCCCACACCCCCCCACCCCCCACCCCACGCACTCACACAGTCGTGGATTGAAGTGACCAATTCATCATCACCATTATTATTATTTTATTATTCACTGTAAAGTGAATTGACCGTACACTTTGTGGGCCAAACAGGACCTTCGGTTGCGCACAGCAGCGTCTCGCAAACAGCCGTGGAGTGAGCGACCGGTTTTATTTGGGGGTGGGGGGGGGGGGAGGGATTGTTGGCCAGGACGGCGAGAGTCATGAATGCCGCATTGCTTCACCCTCGTTTGTGTGAAGAAACACTTTCTGATCTCGTGTCTAGCCGGTTTAGCTCGAATTATATTTCTGTGGGATGGAACACGCAGCGAACTGCAACTCAAGGAAAAGTTCTTGACTTGGGGTTCAAATGACTTCTTGCATACTTACCCTTCCCTGCCCAACCCTCGCCCCGAAACCCCAATAAAATTGGGATTGGTTGTGTTTCTACTTACGCTGAGCTCTGTGTTTTCAGAGATCAGAGCTGCATGTTTGCCTGCCTGCTTTAATTTGACAGGAAAGGTTCTGATGGCTCCAAGTAAAAAATCAATAGCGATGTGAGTTGAGTGGGTGAGCAGAGCCTGGAGGCATTTGTCCCCTCTGAAAACAGTGAAGGTGGTTTGAAAGAGGAAACAACTGCTGGGAGTGGTTAAAAACTGCACGTTCCTTCCTCATCAGCTTCCCCAAACGATTTTCTTTTTTCCCCCACATTTTATGCGAAGGCTTATTTTGAGCTGGAGAGAAAAGATCAAAGGAGCAAATATCATCGTAGCACTGAAACGAAGGAATAAAATGTGTGTGTGTGTGTGCGCGTGTGTGTAAAAAAAAAAGACAGGTTTGCAGTAACACAATGTAGACAGCGATTGTCTGATTATTCCAATTGATCCATAAGGAAATCATGAAATTAGATTAAAAAAAGGACCGAACACTTTGAACAGAAGCGACGTTCTGGAGCAATAAGATGGTTTGTCACATCAACTAATGTCAACATCAGATGTTGTGAGATGCCATGACAAAACATGTTTTCATAAACAGAATTGTCAAAGGCAAATAATTCCAAAACATGGGAAATGACCTAAAATATTTGCCTGCATAAAAGTATCCTGGCTGTGTTTTTTCCCCCCTAAAGTACTAGACTATTTATCAACATATAATTGATCCGCTTATACTTTGGGTTTGAAAAACAAGTTTGATTGAAATTAGCAGCTAAGTGCCAATAGTTACGTCATTTAACTTCTATCAGAACTGCAACTTGATTATACATCTAAAATGATGAATAGCTTTGTAATTGAACCAAGAAAAAAACATTTTGTGATGCTCTTTGATGTTATGTATTCACCTCATAAAGTGTTTTATTGTGCTGCATACCTTTTGAGGGGTTTAAGTACCGTACAAGCAGTAAATAGTACTTTAATTTATTTTACGTAGGACAAACTGAGTTTAACCTCAAGCAGGGTTACTGCACCAAGTGTCAAAATCTGACAATTTAGGCAAGCACAAGGAATTGGCAGCCTGTGTACTTTCTTCTGATGTTGAGTATGAAAGCCTATTTTAGGAACAATCAGATACACTACTTTCAAACCATTAGGAAGTGGTTTCTCTAACCTTTTTCCTGCAGAGATTATTCTACTTAATTATGAATTGATGCCTGGGTTTACATCCTCCAAGTCTTGAACTGCGATTTATGTGAACAGGTATTAGCAATTAATTTAATAAATGCAAACTCGCAAGCAAAATCCTATGTTTGAAACCAAATCTGATTGATGCAAAGAGATTAAAGAACTTATTTGCCTTTTATATTCAGAGACATCAATAATTTTGAGCTCAAGTTATTCGAAACAATTTATATCATTTACTGTCGCGCTTCACAGAGTATACTGTAAAGTGAATTGATTATGTATATTTTGTGGGCACACAAACAAGTTTCAAAGTACAGGCACTATAATTATAGTGCTGGACACCTAGCATCAATATTAAAGATTTAAAAGATACTGACTGTACGCACAGTCAAAGAGATATAGTTTAGGAAATGTTTCCAAGCTGCAAGAGATGTGTCAAGACAATGTGGTTTGAAACAAGAGTTTCAGAGGACTTGGGGGCGGGAGGGTTAAACTTTACAGTATTTCAAGATTTATTTAAGATATGCACAAGTTCCACCAACATACCCATCCTAGTGATTAAATTGAATGCAAATGTATTGAATTGGATTTAGCCATTCAATCCTGACTCGGATCTCACCCAAGCACACATATTATGCTGACACCGAACAAAATAAATAAAATTGGTTTGTGACTGACACCAGAGGAAAGTTATTCATTTTTATTTTTACTTATTTTCTGGATTTTTTTAAACTCACCAAAGCATTCACAAACAAAAAGCAAATCAAAACAACAACATAATGCAATAATCCTTCAAGCCGTCTCAAAGCGCTTCACGGAATATATTGCAAAGTGAATTGCTTATGTACATTTTGTGGGTGAAACTTACATTAATATAGTGCACTTCATATAGGGCATTTATATATGCATTTATATAGGGCAGTGTTTGGAGAGCAAAAGTTAAAATCCTATTTACTGATACTTTTAGTTCAATTTTTTTAATGGTGTTCTGTTCCTTTCACACATTGTGAGATTGGTACCCAGTTAAATATTCTATAATGTAACATTAGACTGTCAGGATTCTTCCAGACAATCAGGGGCTAAAACTCAGCCACAGTGACAATGATGGGCTTTGTCTCTTGAGATCAAAGGCATCTGATGTAATCTTTATTAATTAACACAGATGTGCAAAATGCGTCTTTATTTATCTGCATATAGTAGCTTGGGAGTTTGCACATCTGTTTTAAACTTCACTACACCATTGTATTTTAATGAACTCAGAACATTTAATTATGTTTCCGGTGGTGGGGTGGGGGGGTTGTTTTAAAATGCGGGCATTGTTTACTCGTTTATTTTATTTGTGAAGAGGGCATCTGCTAATTCATCCTCAAAGAGCAGATATTTCGATCAAAAATTACTCAACTTTAAATAAGACCACAGCAGCACAATCCTTTTACAAGGTTTCCAAAACAGCAATTGGACACAGGAATCTGAATAAATGCCCACGTTTCCACATTTCATATTGATGTTCCTCGAGAGAGAGAGAAAAATCACTGGCAACAACAATCTTGAACTCAGAAAACTTTGCTTCTAAAGCTGCATTTCTGTAACAAAAGAATGAAACCATTTACCTCCTTCTTCCCGAGTGCTCGGCTTTCTGTACATTTTCATATTTGTAGAAACTAAACTTGGGAACTTTCTACATGGCGGGAATATTGATGGAAGCT